ATAAAATGAAATCATTCCTAAACTGATCAATCCCTGAGCGGTTACCGTTGATCGCTCTAAACTAACTCCATTACCTATAGACCTTATTTCCGATGTTGAGAAACTACTTTTGTATGAACAAATATTGTGGATTTTTCATAATCGGACATTTAGGAGTTAAACTAATTAGTACTTAGGTAAATAATGAACTCTGCTCTGTCTCACTCTGCACTGTCGGCTCTGCCATCTCACACTACTAGCTCCACTTAACTGTAACTTTTGTATTGACATTGTTGGTTCTATCTAAAAGTACATCAAACGAATTTATTCGGAATTACGCGTCGCGTAGCAAAATTTCTTTGCATTCCGACTTCCCCTGAATACAAAGATGCTTACACAAAAATTATACGTTTGTAAATATTGTGCTAACATTTTGTTTACCAAAGAAAGACGGTAATCGTGACAAAGCGATCCTATCTAAATGTTTATTAGTTGCTGACAGGGTTCCCATGTCTTAATTGGCGTACAAAACGAACCATTTCTATGTTAATGTCGCGGAATGGGAGAAAAGCTTTGCGTATCAGCTATTTATCTATGGAAAAAACCAATATGTTTATATTAAGTAGTTAGTTTTAGAATAACTGCTATTAGTGCAGTGGTTGAATAATTTTCCGCTGTTCTTCGTGGGATCGACTAATACGTGCTTGTTTGCTTATTGTTCGGCTCTTATGTATTCATTAGTGTTTAAAAGGAGGTTGAATGGGGAAAATCATCGAATGAATTCTCTCGCTCCTCGGGCGAGACGAGAGGGAGTATCAGAATCTTACTGATAAAAACCACCCCGTTTCTGCTGATACACGTCAGGCCAGAGCCCCGGTAACCTAAAAGAAGGTTTAGATTCATAATGAAAATGTATCTTTTAGTTTTGTGATAAACACAATACAAAAGATCAAAATAATTTATAGTTTACTTCTTCAATATTTTATGCTCATAATGTTTCATTACCGCGCGTAATTCCAAACTCCTCTTAGATAGTGTTCTTATTGAAATTCGTGTAACCATTTCTAATGTACTACAATAGAGAGGAGAGTTAGTTAGTTTATTTTGAAGAAGTTGTTGTTTTTCTCTAGCAGCTATAGTGTTATCTAATATTAACAAGAATAACGACGGTTTTATTGTTTCTACCCTCGGTAACTCGACAGAATTTTATTCCCAACAGTCGAGAGTATACGGGAAAAAAGATTGGCAGTGACTAGAGATTTGTAGATAATGTCACTAATAATAAAAGTTGTTCTCAGTTAGTCAGGCTCACAACTGGCATCCATCATGGCCGCTCGCCTTTATTGGATGGAGGGTAAACTCAAGGATTCTCGCAGGACCTACATATAGCTTGGAGTTAGTCAAGTTGTTCGGTCAAGTCTCTTGAGTGCATGAGATATTTTAGTGGCTATATTAATGTGTGGAAATTAAACTGGTTATGAATGTTTCAGTGTATTTAAGTAGACCAGTGATTCTTTACTCCCTGTTTATTCAAGTTTAATTTACCTTATGTTTGTTGAATGTTTTGTATTCTATTTTTGAGGCAAAATAAATGCAGTTGGTCAGTTTTAATGTTGAAGCCAAAATTGTAAGAGAATAATATTATAAAAAGTTGCTGCCAAAAAACGGTTCCGATCTTCAAAATTCTTTTATAAGCGACCTAGTTTCACTCAAAATGAATAGGTATCCCGGACAATATAAATTTTACTCAGCGCCAAAATTGCAAGCGATGGCAGAGACACTAAGTACTGAATGTTTTATTTAAAACGAACGTAAATCAAAGTGTAGAGACCGTTACAGCTGAACAATTGAAATAAATCAGAATTAAACCCTTGTAAGGAATGAATACACCTGATCTCCAGAACGGTTAGTTATACCTACGTGTTTAAGGACTTGCTCATGTGACGTCATAGATAGAAACGCCATTACGATAATTCTACAAGCTCTGACTAAATTCTTTTTGCGATTTTCAACTTAATTTTTTATGAAAGACTAGCTGCTGCCATCGGCTTCGCCCGCATTTCAGGGGGGGGGGGAGTAGCCTATTTATTACTCCAGACCATAATCTAACCCTGTTCAAAATTTCATCCTGGTCCCTTCAGCCGTTTTGATGTGACTGAGTAACTTTTTCCCATTTATAATAGCGGTTCAAGCTAATTTCCACCATCGGCTCAACAATTATAGTTTAAGGTACAAAGTGGGCAACCTAACATGTCCACATGCGTTAAATAACAATCACACACTCCTGAACTATTTCACTGTATTGAACTTATCACGTAAGTAATCTTTTTCAGGGAAAGAAAGAAAGTCTTTTGCGCAACTTCGGGCTAGCTTGAGCTAGCGACTTCGTCCAAACAGTTTGCGGTTTTAATCCCTCTACACCCGGCTAAGTTGTTCCAAAATTCTTTTGTTAGGTACTGCTTAATCTTAAAATAGACGTCCAGACTACTTTGGCGGTTTTCCGCCCGTTGTTCGGTCAAAGGGTTATTTTTCTACAGCTCCTTTTGACTTTTTCTGTGGGTATTTAATTAGACATTTTCAGCGTCGTTTGTTAAAAGACAAAAGAATCCTAGGCAAGACAGTAGTTATGTATTTAGACACGATTATTATAATTACTAAAATGACCTACTTCAAATAAAAAGAGTTAAGAATGGTGGGCATTATCCGTGCTTAGGCGTTTTACAAATGTTAATGTTTTGTTATTACAAAGATTACTCTATAACATTTTGAAGATGAACTTTTTGCCGGTCCCATTATAAAGGCTTTACAATTGAAATAAAACTAGTCTTCTTATGTAATCACACTAATAGTACAACTGTCAAAGTTTCTTTCTTTGGATGTTTTAACCACGCTGAAACTACTGAACGTATTTTGATGAAATTTGGTATACATGGTAGGGCTTACTAGGTGATAGGATACTTTTCCCTGATTAAAAGCTCTCATAGGATAAAACTGGAATCTTATTCTACGTGAACGACGTCACGGGCGACCACTAGTTATCAGTATAAATTAACCCACCTAACTAACGAGTTCATTGTCTTTGTTCCAGGTGTTTCAAGAATAGCTGGACAGTGAAGGACAGCAATACATCTCAGAAATTGGGTTGCGGAGGTCAGAAAGCAGTCGGTCACTGGAAATCAATAAGCCACATCTGGACCTAGACTATAATGCCGCCGGCATTTCGGAAGGGTCCAAAGACCGAGAAGATTACTCATTTTTTGCTTGTTAAATTAGCTACAATTAACGATGAATATTTAGGTTTTTGAACGATGATAATAAAATTTTGTTTGCGGGATTTGTGTCTTTAGGTATGTAGTCAGTTGTTTAAATATGTTTTTTCAACTTTATGTGTGACAGCGAAATGTCAAGTTAAAAAAATGTAATACGTTCTAAGGTTTGATAAAATCGGTAATGAATTAGAATTAAAATTTAACACATTGAACGCCATGGGGGTCTACGGTGACCGACGTTAACGGAGGATTTGCCTCCAAGAGTTTTCTATTGGCAGTCAAAACCTTAAGCGTCTCAATTTATCATCAGTTCATCTAATCAATCCTTCATATTTTAGTAAAAAATAATAACTACCTTATTTATGTAGGTACCTAAAAATGTTACAGTAAAATATAATCTTGTTGTATATACCTTATAATAATTAGTAGATAACGAGCATGTGCGAAATATAACAGCGATTAGGCAAGTCCCAAAAAGGCCAAAAGTGAAAAGGATTGCCTAAGCTAATTAGGCACCTACACACTGGCATTAACTGGGCCTTGCTTTGTATTACGCTCTATGTATAGGTATAGGTATCGAGTATTTATTATTAAACGTAAGTAACCGAATGGCACCTTACTTTAGATACCACGACAGCGACGTTCCGATTAGTATTCACTTTTATAATTATTCTTTCTACAAAAATTCCAATACAATTTTCATTTTGACTAAACATTATAATGTCATGTTGCTTTTTAATTCATCAGTCAGCCATCAATTTAATTATACACCAACGTATTTGCCCTCGGGCGGTCCCTTAGTATTGTTCTCATTTAAGACGGTTGCCACTCTAGCTAAACACATGAATATGCACAAACATAAGTATGTTTGGTTTGTAGCTTTGATATCTGCCACAAGAGACTGGTATGCACGGCCCTAATCCCCCCCGAGCCCGTGCGAGCACGGCGCCAAATTCGACACACGGTTTTCCCGGGATTTTTACGCGACAACTCGGGTCACCACGTGAAATTTAGAAGCCAACACATTCTCTAAAATTCTAGTATCGAAAATTCAATCTGAATATTTATAACTGTAGGTATACTTATATATTCTAAGCATTAGTTTTAGTAAGGTTTTTAAACCATTTTAATTCATAGATAGGTAAGTAACTACTATACTTATTTAGACCATCTTTTATAATCAATAGTTGTATAACACAAAAAAATATCTACGGCATAGTAAAATCGTTATTGAATAAATAATGGACAGGCGAGCACATTGATAAAGACAGATTAAAGAATAAATTCTTCGCTAAATTCTTTTCCATGTGTTTTTCATTCTGGCACCGTGTTTTGAAATGGGAATTTACCTACACGTGAATGCAAACAACAAGTTAAATTGTTACGTAATCACTAAAGTACACTCAACAGACTCTTGATTTATTTATAAAAATATCAAATTTTAAAATCGCGGTTATTTGAATTTTTGAAACTAAATTCCAGTCAGGTACACCGAATTTCTAAAAAAAATAATAGCGACTGACGAAGTACGTACTATATAAATTCAAAATTAAATTAAAAATAGCTTGTAAAATCATATAATTGCACAATAATAACTAAAACATCGGGAGAGCAGCTGCTGTAGACGGAGGGGGGATACTGGAGCCCAACGTGGGACCCAGATAGCGTCGTTCACCGCAGCAGTTATATTTTGCTAAATGAGTTGGGTGTAGTCGGGTGAACGGACACTATTAATATTATAACCTGTCGTACCTTTATTGAGCCTCGAACCTCATGGTTTCTGCTCTACAACGTTCCAAAAATATCGATTCACGACGAATCCAGCATGTCGGCCGCCCTCTAGGGCAGACGGCTCCTCTCGCTCTACGTACACATAGGACACAACACGTCAAGCGAGATATCAAAACGGTTTCCCGCCACTAGTATTTCAACACATTAAACAACCATTCTTAGGATTTTTGCCCACGATGCTCAAACATAACAATGTAAACACTGTTTTTTAGTTTTTTTGCAATGTTTTACTCAGGATTTGATAGGAAAATGGACTAAAAGTTTCATTATGCCGTTAAATTTCGAGGCGGGCACCGTACCGACCTCCCACGCTCACTCGACCCGACTGACTGAATTTCCTACATTTCCCGGCGCAAGCCTTCACCCCTTGTAATCGAGCACGTTCGCAAAGATATAACAGCGAATGTCTAGATGTACCCATACTTATTTAAAATATTTTTTGTGTTTCTTTTACGCTACTCTGAAACATCTAAATCCCCAAATCTAATATTGACGTGCGTTAGATATTCACATTTGGTCTAGAAACTGAACATATTATTCCTACGCCAGTTAGAATTGATGGTTTATTTTTTTATTAACTTATTAATATCATACTTTTTATTATCACTTAAGTAAAAGTTTAAATAAATGTACCTACTCCTTTTCTAAATCCTAATGATTTCCAAAAGAATTCTTTTTAGGTAAGTACCGAAGAAATGAGGGCTAAGTAGTTTTTATTTTGGGTAGGTAGATAGGCGCTACATATTTAAATAGGTCTAGGCTCTACAAAATTAATTACGAACGCTTCTTAATTTAAAAAATGTTTTTTTCATTTTATTTTACTAAAAATTCGAGGTGAGATATTTATTATATTTTGTAGATCTACGTTTTCATGCCGTTTACATTTTTATTTAATCGTGATGTAAGTACCAGTTCGTCCAAGTTTAATTTGAACTATAATTTCTGGATTTTTAATTTTCTATAATATCTTTAATGTTTTTTTATTATTAATACTCGCCTTTATATGCCGCGTTAATTTTGTATGCTTTTAAACCTAATTTTTGCTATTTCTGAACGGAACCAATCCGCCACTAGCGCCATTATGAAATCAACAAAATCATAAAATGACACTGGGCATGTTCCAGTTCCTGTTAGGAAAAGATCATAAGTTTAGCATAATTTTTATGTTGATCCTGCTCTAACAAACGGGATTGGGTATTTGAATTACCTGCTGTCAATGTCGGTAATGTTTATAGTTGTACGAAGTGAAATGGTGACGACTTCATCGAATCGCGTCCCTCAATGTTTCATCCCAAGTTTCAACAAGCAAAACAAGCAAACCAAACACGTTTGTTAGTGCTTTTTCTGTGTTACTCCGTAAAAGTTCCAAATTAAAACTATATTTATAATATGGCGCAAGCAGAAGATACTGAACTTCGTGATTTAGTAATAGAAGCTTTGGAGAGAAACGGTTCGCTTGCCAAAATACGCGCGTTGCTAAGAGCTAACATTTTTTTAGCTTTTGAAGATGAATGTGAAAATTTGAAACAGAATGTGAATTTGGATAATATAATTAAAGTTCCCGAAGGTCTTTTGGCTCTATCAGTGGTCCACGAGTTTTTGGAATTTTGCTGTCTGAAGAACACATTATTCGTTTACAAGCCAGAGTCCCGACAGGGCACCGAATACAAATATGAAGGAAAGAAGAAGTTGGCTGAGAAGATGAACTTACCTAAATCTGATATGAAAGAGCCCATTCTTCTCACACTTGTTAAAAATATGGTAAACTCTCAGAAGAAATATTTTGGTTCAGATGCTAACTCCAATTACAATCATGAAAGATGTGATGATAAAAATTACAGAGAAGAGCAAAATTGTACTTATATTCTCCATGAAGATTCACAGAGTAGTACTACAAGTAACTCTCAATCAGATAACTCGTCAGATGAAAAGAACAAACTACACTTGCGGCTACAGCTTGATAACTCGGACACAGACACCTCCAGTGACTCTGCGAGGGACAAGACAAGTTCTGAGTATATACCTGGTGACCATATACTACAAACAGCAGACAACGGTTCCAATTATATTACACAGAAATCCAGTGATTGTGTAGATGCTAGAGGAGATGACAAGTTAACAACTTTTAATAGACCCAGAAATGAGACTTCTTTATTAATGAGTGAATTAAAATTGGCTACTAACAGTAGCAGTGACTCTACCTCATATGTTGAATTAAAACCATTTAATTCTTTAGATGAAAAAATGCTTAATACAGCTGGTTTGCCAATTGTTGAAACAGATTGTCATAATGACCAAAAAAGCTCAAATTTTTTGTCAGTGTCTAATGAACAAAATAATTTAGTATCACCAAACCCTGTTACTTTAAGTAGTAGTGATTCACTTATAACTAATAATCAATTAATTGAGACTAAAGCTTCCGAAGTCAGTGAGAAAAAATTACAAGATTCTGCCAAGTCTGATGCGGACACTGCAGAGTTCAGTTATGGGGATGATTTCTCATCATCACCAGTTTCAAAGTTCAAGGAAAATGTTGATAAACAGACAAAGTCATCTGCATCTATCCAAGATGAATTAGAAAAAAGTTTGAATAAAAATGTTTCAATAGAAAGCCCGCATCAAACTTCTCAGAGTTCTCAAAGTTCAGTCTCACTGTCCGATGTAGCAGATTTAATTAGTGAAAAAAGTTCCTTGAGTATTTCTAATAATAAATCTAAGGTTTCAGGAAATAATCAGTCAAAGGGAATTTCGGATCAGAAACAAAGTAAAGTTTTAAGTGATGACTCGGGAGACTTTACTGAATCTCCTGTACCTTCTTTATCAAATTTAAGTCTTGACATTCACAGTGATTGAAGTTCATATTGACTAAATTCTCCTTGTCTTACTATTGACTTAATGATATACAGCAATAATAATTATTTATGATACAAAGTAAGTTCCTTAAATGAAGTAGATTTTTTTATTGGACTATTGTGGGAAATTCTTATTTATTGAAAACTTTAAATACTTACAAACCTCATTTGCATTTAAAATAATAGATAATATTTCGTCATCAGGTATTTTTATATTTATTATTCATCTGTGGTGATTTTAATTGTGATAAAAATATAGGTAATTCAACTTTTGTCTCTGTTAAGTAACATTGCAATTCTTATGTAGAATAAAATTAGATAGTAGAATTTATCTATCTAATATGTAGTCTGTGTTGTCAAAATCTATTTTGTAAATGTTGTCACATTTATTGTTTAACTCATCGAGTACCGTCATTATAGACGCAATTATAGAACAATAGGTTGCGGTCACCGGTGTCCTCGCGGTGTTTGACAGTTTAATTACAAAACTACTAGAAATTGAAGTAACTATTTTGTCATGTTTGTATGATATAAAAAAAAATATGTTTATGTACTGCAAGGTGTATTATGAAAAAATGTAGATGACTAGGTATAATATGTGCCTGTCTACTGTTGAAATAGTCATAACTAGTTAGTTTAATAACTTTCCTGCCACCATACCTTGATATTGCTGCCTGCTTGTTGATGCTTTCTGATAAAAATATAGTCATATAAGTCCTATTTTGAAATGTCCGTGACAGATACTAGATTGTTGAAATTTAATGGTTGTGCCTTATTTATATTGGAATCACCAAAACTAATGCAATTGTTCCTTTTAGCACTCATGTAAAATGAATATTCTAGTCCTATATGAAATAAAACTGGTTCCGTCCAAATTGCTCCATCATATCTGTTTCTGGCTAAGGTTACATGAAACTGCTGTAACTAAGTATGTACTTCAATAAAATGCCTCGAACTAATTTGTTGTTTTCTTTAATTCTTGTCTAAGCAAATAGAGGTGTTGGTCTATTGAGTGCAATATAAATTATAGGTAGACTAGTTATTACTAGTCTAGGTAGTATAGGTAGACTAGACTATATTTTATATTGCACTAACAGTGGCTATAATTGGACTTTCAGATTTATACTTTATTTTTACACAGGTGCCGGGATCCTGTCATTTGTTTTGTTAGTGCAGAAAGAAATGCAATTCGTGGAAATTGAAAATCAAGGCTTTGTTCATGTGGGTGTACAACAAAATGAAAGACGGTATGATTTTTATTAATCATTTTTTATTTCACATTTTTCTGTAAAGCATAGATTGTAGATATCACGTTTCACTTATGCACACGAGTCAATCCATACCGAACACTGTAACACAGTTGTTACGCATTTCTATACAAAAGTAACGCTGTTTATGATAGATAGCGGTTAGTGTAATCGCATACAAAATGAAAATATATTAAACATATTTACACTTAAATATTTTATATTAGGTACATGAAATTTTTAATATGAAAATGGTATAAAAATTACACTTTCATATGTTACATACTCAGTAATACAAATGCGGTTCATATCCTAACTTTGAAAAAATATAACAATAGTAAAAGCCACAATGCTTCATATAAACAGTATTAGATCTAACATTGTAATTACGTCGTAAAAAAATGGAAAAATCATCGCTCCAGGCACTGTTATTATTTCTTATTCACTTATGAGTGGAATTATATTATCTCGTATGTAAAAGAAACAAAAACAGACTTCATTAAAAGGTTTACATACTCATGCTATTGATATTTGCTGATTCACACAAATATTGCCGAGTAAAACCTTTTTAAAATTAACTTAAATAAGTACCGCTATTAATTTTAGCGATAAAATATAGAAAAAAAACAACTAAAAATATTAATAGAATCGCAACTAAATTAACACTTATAATAAGTAAATAATAAATATCAATAATGTACATATGGCAAATATTTGGCTTTATATTCATATTTATAATCCACATGTAAGGAACGTCAGTTTAGTTCATACACTGCATGGAATTACTGCTGGTATTACTTTACGTTCAACTACAATACGTTGACAAGCAATATCACAGAATACCAGCGGGTAGTATAAAATCTTAGAGTATAGTGACGTCACAATACAGTCGGGGCGTGGAGTTGCTCGTTATAGCTCGTTGCCCATCGAACTGTCGTGCGTGAGATTCGAATCCATGCTCGCGTTGTCAGAGTCCTGACTTTGGTTTCCGCTGTAGTTCGCCGCTTCTTGTAGTCGCATTAACATGTTCAACTGTAACAAATAAATAAAGGACGGTTAGGAACACTTACATACATAACCACACTATTCTCTCTAATACCATGAGTTTTAAATCGTACTGTTCACAAACGGTAGCATTTTTTATGAAACTAACATAATATCACGCCTTTTATTCCCGAAGGGGTAGGCAGAGGTGCACATTA